AATAATGACCGCATTATTTTGATGACGTAATGGTATCGAAATATAAGAAAGGAAAACAACTTCAGTTCAAGACAGTTCAAAATAATGCTGGGAAATGGAAATTAAAATGATACCGTTTTAAAAACCAGTTAGATATGGTTTTTGGACAAGAAGCATGAGATAATTCATTGCGCGGCAATCTGGACTGTATTTGAAACAGAGCATCAAATATTCCTGATATTTAATAGTATACTGTCAATGAAAAAATATAACTAAAAAAAAAAATAATATTGGACCTCTTTACCCAAGGCTGTGTGTCTTTGTCGAGCACAAAATGATTCTGGTCGGGTATGCAGGCCAGTTGTTAGCCCATATTGGGCTTGAATAGACTTGAATTGAAAGACCCTTTGTTTCACCTCGCGAAGTTTGGGCGCTTTCATATGAGAAGTAAAACCTTGCCCATCATTGAATTCATGTTGTAAAGTTGTTTACAGACTGAAAAAGGGATAGTACGGGACTGTAGAGAGTGAATAAAACTAGGAAATTATAATTGCAAATGTAAAACAACGTTGTAAACCTAGCAATAAGAGGCTCTTGAATGCAGTTTTTAAATGGACATGGCTTTGGGATTGCCAGCTAGCTGTCGATTGCCAGCTAGCTGTCGATTGCCAGCTAAAAAAAAAAAAAAGACCCCCCCCCCCCCAAAAAAAAAGACCCCCAAAGGGGCTCCCTCACAGTTTTTCCTACACTTAGATGCTCCCCCCTCACCATAGGCCCTTTTTTCAATTTTTTTTGAGGAATCCATTGACATATTGAGATTTGGAACCCTTTCCCATACATCAACATGACCAACAATAATTATTTTACCACTCTTTTAGTGAGATAAAAATGGGTTCAACATCAGTTTTTATTTTTCAAAGATTTATTAAAAAAAAAAAAAAAGCACTAGCTGGGAGTCGAACCCGATACCTTCCAGTTGCCAGGCGTTTGCCTATCCACTAGACCAATGTGTCACACTGGTAATCTCCTTTTTTTTCTTCATATTGATACTTATTGTTGTAGATGTAGCAAAAGAGGTATTCTAACTAATTCAGAGAGTCGCTTGTTAAAGAAAGAGTATCAAATATTATTTTCTCCTTTGTTGAGGAGCTAGGGGGGGGGGTGTCCCCTTTAAAAAAGGAGATGGACACGTCAATATCACGGGGTAAAGAAAAAAAGAAGAAAAAAAATAACATGAGGTATAAAGAAGAAGCTGGGAGTCGAACCCGAGTACATACACACAAATTGCATTGTGAAGCAATCAGTCTTATCCACAAGGCCACTTTGCCTCACTGCTATTACCTGGTTCGCTTCTTGGTCTTATAGCACTTTCTGCATGTTAATGACTTTAATATGCTGATTTACTGATTTAACGATTTCGGGATGCATAATTGTTCACATTTTTGCAGTCCGATGTTGTCAAGATTGCCCGTAAATGTTTTCTTTCAGTTACTGATATTTCTGATATGATAGTGAGGTTTTATGTTATTTTCATTTATTTTGCAAACTGCTGACTTAAACTTCAAGTGATATGACAATAGGCCACTGCCCTGACATAGCATAATGAACAGAACACGGATCTATTCCATTTAGGATATGCTACGAATTCTATAACAGGGCACCAATGAATAGGGAAGCTTGGCTATTCGATTCCGTGTTCAATAGCTTGCACCTGCAATGTTTGAATAGTAATTATGTAACACATTATTCAGCTCTTTCTGACATATGGCATCAATTAATGAATTGAAGAAAAAAAACCCGACCCTCCCTTCATTGACGGAATATTTTTGTCAATTGCGAGGATTATACATAAGAGGTAATAATAGCATTCCTGACATGGCAATAATGACCGCATTATTTTGATGACGTAATGGTATCGAAATATAAGAAAGGAAAACAACTTCAGTTCAAGACAGTTCAAAATAATGCTGGGAAATGGAAATTAAAATGATACCGTTTTAAAAACCAGTTAGATATGGTTTTTGGACAAGAAGCATGAGATAATTCATTGCGCGGCAATCTGGACTGTATTTGAAACAGAGCATCAAATATTCCTGATATTTAATAGTATACTGTCAATGAAAAAATATAACTAAAAAAAATAATAATATTGGACCTCTTTACCCAAGGCTGTGTGTCTTTGTCGAGCACAAAATGATTCTGGTCGGGTATGCAGGCCAGTTGTTAGCCCATATTGGGCTTGAATAGACTTGAATTGAAAGACCCTTTGTTTCACCTCGCGAAGTTTGGGCGCTTTCATATGAGAAGTAAAACCTTGCCCATCATTGAATTCATGTTGTAAAGTTGTTTACAGACTGGAAAAGGATAGCATGGGAGTGTACAGAGTGAATAAAAGGATGAAAGTAGTACTGAAAATGTAAAAAACTTGTTTAACCTGGCAATAAGGGACTCTTGAATGTAGTTTAAAAATTGGACATGGCTTTGGGGCTAACGCTACCGGCCACCGGCTACGCTGACGACCGCCAGCTAGCTGACGACCGCGTCAAAAAAAAAAAAAGGACCCCCCCCCCCAAAAAAAAAAGACCCCCAAAGGGGCTCCCTAACAGCTTTTTCCTACACTTAGCTGCTCCCCCTTCACCATAGGCCCTTTTTCAAGTTTTTTTGAGGAATCCATTGACATATTGTGCATTGGAACATTTTCCCATACATCAACAATGAACAACACCAACAATAATTATTTTATCACACCAAAATTGGAAAAACGATTAACTTTTAATATCTGGCTTTTGGGCTTTAAAACAAAATACACTAGCTGGGGATCGAACCCGATACCTTCCACTTACTAGGCGGTTGCTTATCCACGAGACCACTTTGCCTCACTGCGATTACCTGGTTCACTTTTAGTTGTTAACACTGTGCTTTTAGTTGTTAAAACTTTCAGCTAGCTGACGGCAGGCGCAGCTATACCCCCTAAAGGCAGACGCGGATCCAGGGCGCCGGGAGGGCCTTACCCCCCCCCCCCCCCCCCCCGCAAAAAAAGAGAGAGAGAGAAGGAAAAGAAGGGAAAGGGAAAGAGGAGAGAAAGGGAAAGAAAGAAGAGGAAGAGGAAGAAGAAGGGAAAAAAAAAGGGGGGGGGAAGAAGCAGATCAAGGGCCGAAAGGGTCTTGGATCCCAGCTGTCACCCCCCCCCCCCCATTACAAAATAAGAGAGAATGATGAAAAGGGAAAGAAAAAGGAAAAGAAGAGATAAAGGGAGGTAAAAACGGAAGAAGAAAAGAAAAGAAGCGGGATATCAGTTGCAATTTTGCCGCCAACAAGTTGTAGTTCAGAGGGGCCAAAAGGCCCTAGACCCCACGCAAATAAACGCTACGCTCTGCCTTATCGTAAATACCACTCCCCCAACGTACTTAGAGAAACGTTCAGCGAGGCCTGCATAAAAAGTGGGTGGTGCGGTTTATTTTCTACCCCCCCCCCCAAACGTTTTTGTTCATTTCGCCACTGCCGGTGTCACCATTTCGTACCAATATTTGGCTAGCATAATTTCAAATTGGGCCCCCCTAACAAATCCAAGATCTGCGCCTGGGGCCCCCCAAAGGGCTCCCTAACAGTTTTTTCCTACACTGCTCCCCCTCACTCTAGGCCCCTTTTTTCCCCCTTTTTTTTTGAGGAATCCATTGACATATTGTGCTTTACCAATACATCAACAACACCAACAATAATTATTTTAACACACCAAAATTGGAAAAAATGATTAACTTTTAATATCTGGCTTTTTTGCTTTAAAGAAAAATTGTAACTGATGTTGATGGGATTAATCGCAACTGATCTCTGCTTCTTTTCACCCTTTTCTTTTTTTCTACCTCTTTTGTGTTCCATTTTAGCTTTCCTCTTTCCCTTTCCTTTTTCTCTTTTTTTATGGCGAGAAGGGGGGGGGGGGGGGGGTAGGGGGGGGGGGGTAGTGAGCACCTTTTTTTTTTTGGCCCTCGAAATTTTAACAATTTGCACCACCCCCCCCCCCCCCCCCCCCCCCATCCCCCCTACTAGATCCGCCACTGCCTGTAGTTTCATCCCTAGCTAGCTGGTTAAGCTGAATATGGGTTATCCAGTCGTTTCATTCATTAAGTATAATTATACTTGTATCAGGGATATGAGAGTATGAAGGGGTGACCAAAGTTCGCGCACATTTTAGAACATATTACAAAATGTGATATTCGATCTATGATTTCTTACATTCTACACAACTTTATTTATTTCAATTATTACCAAATGGACGGCAAAGTTTTTTTTACTACAGATTGGTTCAACTAGAAAAATTTACCGTCGAAGGATTTCGGAGATATCGCGATCTAAAAATTCGATGTCCGATCGTGCGTGCGCGCTGCATCTAAAAAAGTCATAAAAACAATGAGACCTAACTTCACGCACGGTGGTTTACAGTTGATTTATCAAAAAATGCGATCCATCAAAAATAAGGTAATATCATAATTTGCAAGACAAGATATCGTACAATCAGTTAGTACCACTCTTTACTTACAATTTTGAGGATTTCTGATCTCAAAATGAAGATTTCCAGACCCTTATCGGTAAGTTGATAATTTTTCGGAACGGACGCAAATAACTGCAAAATTTGCCGATCTTTTGTCAATATTTTCACAATTTCGCACCCAATTCTAAAGAAAATTTCGTTTCTGGGTAATTTTATGACCCTCTTTCCATTGGTGATATCAGATTTTCGAAATCTTACCGATTTTTTTGAGAAAGCGAACTTTGGTCACGCGCGAACTTTGGTCACACCGCCATACATCCCTGTTTGTTTTGACTATGTATACGTGTGGACTAGAGTACGGACATTCGGTGCGGCAGGAGGACTATTGGTGCGAGACCTCTTCAGCACAGATTGTCCGCCAGACATTTGAGGCGCGCACGGAATGTCCGACACGGACATTCTGCGCGGATAAAATCCGCACCGATCGTCCGCTCTCGATCGATCTCTAATAGTCGGACGATCGGTGCGGGTTACATTCTACGCGGTCACACCGGATCGAGTGCCGTACCCGTTATCCGTATAATGTACAGTGCCTCCGCCCACTAATCAAGAGACCAGTCGAGAGAGGTTTGTTTACAAAATATTTCATTGTTCTAGTAATATTCTTTATGTCATAATTTCATTATTACATGAATGCCATTTCAGTTTAGACTTGCCTTTAGAGTGGTTCGTTCAGAATCATCTAAAAGGGTAGACAAATTGATAAAATGTAAATTTGATCGAGATTACAAATAGACTAGAATAACCTACGTACCTAGTCCCACACGTACACATTTTTGTCATAAATCTTTGGTTAATGTCTGCAAAAGTGCAGATTGTATAATATTACATTTAAATCTTTGTCTTGGGACCAAAAGCTACACTCTTTGACTTTGATTCAAACAAACTAGGTCTAATTAAAAATCAAAACAATATTTGTTATTGATTCAACAGAACAAAATCCTGAAAAGCAAAAAAGAAGATGAGCGGAAATTCGGAATCTCAAGGGGTTGCCAAACCAGATGAATGTGACTATGCCTTGGTCCAAGAAATGGGCGAAGGATTCCGGAGGGGAACATCAAGAATCTCTGCCCTTGGAACATCTTTCACCATGGTGTACGGAGAGTGGACGGCCGCTGGGAGCACGGATGAGAGCCCGGTGGTCCTTTGCGTCCATGGCACACCTGCAACAGAGGGCGCTTTTCGTCCACTAGGCAGCAGAATCGCAGCTGAGGGTTACAGGGTATTGGTGGTTAATTTTCCAGGTATTGTCTTCAACTAGCAAGGTTTATTCATTTTGTTTTAAGAGTAAGGGATCATGGAGATATGATTGTAGATTTCAGCACACATAGCTGCATTAGTATACTTTGTTGTGTACTAAAATCAGTTTAGACGACCTCTCAACATTTCAAACACCACTGTACAATTAAAACTCAACTGAGTTCACTTAAAATCAGTACTTTAGTGACAACTGATGACACCTGAATAGCAATACAATCTTTTCAACTTACCAATGTTAGAAATAATTCTTTGAAAATTCAAATCGTGAGTCTACTGTCAAACTTGCCGCTCAGCCACTTCGTATTCATTATGTGCAATGTGTGCATTGTATGCAATTGATGCCTCTCAGCACGTATACAACGCTAATATGCATTAGCATTGACTACTATACTGTGCTGGAGTGGATTTCAGAGGGATCAAAGGTTAGGGGGAATTATTATGTGTAAAATTGCATTCAGTAATGTTTTCTTGAATGTTTTCTGCACCTTAGTCATCCCTGGGGATGGGAATGTGTGTTATATAAATTAGTTATTATCAATAAGTGTATAATGTACTACTCATTATTTATTGTTGTATTGGTTTTGTTTTGTTTTTGTGTTTTTAATTCAGGGATGGGGTACACTGAAATTGACAGTGAGAGATGTTATGATTTCTCAGTTGCACACAAAGCTGAGCTTGTCAAGGCATTCATCTTTAAACTGGAACTTAATAGGTATGTTTTGATCATCTTAATTTATTCATTTATTCAATGATCACATCTACTTCATAACCATCACCGACTCTGCATCTACGATAGGGGGTTGGGTGTCCATGACACTTAACAGACGTAAAGCCTTCTCTTTTTCATTTGGATTGAATGAAAAATAATCCCCAAATAGTACGACCATCGTGAATATTGGCTAGCATAAGTAGAAGATTGATGAAATAATACTGTCAACTTATTGAAATTGCCGTTTAAATCAACTGTCTGGATACACAACCTCTAGGTATACTTAAAACTTATATTTCAAATCTTCTTAATCTGCTCTTCTCCCATCCTCATCTTCCTCTTCACATCCTCCCTTCTTCCTTCTCTTTCCTTTTTATTCCTATTGTTTACAATGCATTATAACACTTAATGACTGATTCTATAATTAAGTAATAAAAATCCCAATATTGGTAATTATGATCAACATCTGTGATAACAATTTTCATACTTGAAGTACACTATAGATTTTATTCAGATATTGATATAAACTATAATGGTCACACTAATCTTTGATTTGAATTTCAAATGTGAGATTGTAATTCCTGCCTACTGTACTAATATTGACACAATGCAACCTTGGTGTGGCTGTTTTTCACCATCAATGCTTGCTTCTCTCATTTCTTTGCAGGATAACAATGCTCATGGGTCATTCAGTAGGAGGCCAGGTCATAGGTCATCTAGCGGCTGATAGAGATCTAGAAAATATCGTCCAATCAGTATGTTTTGTATGCAGCACTGGGGTACAGCCATACGGGTATGGTATTAAAGTGATTGTCTCTTAGTTTTTTTTTCCGCTAATGGTAAAGTCTATTTGGCATCTGCTAGCTATCTATAAGGACTGCTATTTATAAAAGACAGCTCTTCATTAAGTCACACATTATAGATAGCGGTCCTTATGAATGGCGGTCCTTATGAATAGCGAGGTAAATTGTCTTTGGTTTTTTTGCTATTTATAAGGGCCGCTATTCATAAAGATCGCTATTCATTTTGTCTCGCGTTATGAATAGCGGTCCTGATGAATAATGTTCCTTATGAATAGCAGTCCTTATGAATAGCGAGCTTGACCCCTCTATTTGTATCTAAACTATCTAAGTACTTTGGACAACCAGTGATTTTGAAACAGTACAATGAAGTTACAGTTAAAAAATAAATAATAATTTGACTTACTTTAGTATGATTTGAAGAAGTGTTTGTTTAGGCCTTGCCCTGAAACAAGCCTGAATCTTAAGACCAGGGTAATAATTTATCTGTAAAGTATGTGGAGAATCTTTCTCAGGTGTTCCACCAAAGGTAGGTCCACACACCAGAGATTTCTTTAATTCTTTCTCATCCCTCTCTATTTCGGCCTTCTACTTTATTATGTCATATGATCTGTCACCTTCCAAGTCTGACAGTCTGACACCATCCTAATATTTGGTCTTCCTCTTCCCCGTTTATCAACCATCTTTCCTTCCAAGATGTCCCTGAGCATGTTACCCCCCCCCCCCCCTTGTGTTCTTTATAAATCCAGAATAGTATTACAGTCAAACCTGTCTAAAGCGACTGCCAATGGGAAACACAAAAAGTGGTCTTTGTAGACAGGTTCCTTTAGTACATGTTTCAATGAGAAACCATTTTCAAGGGAATAAAAAAATGTGGTCTTTATAGACAGGTGGTCACTAAAGCAGGTTTGACTGTATTATTATTAATAGTATGGTATAAAATGTTACTCTTTTATTCTTTTGAATTCCCAGTTCTCAAAGGTACACCATGGTGCCCTACTTGCCATACCTCCTCTACAGAGCGATATACTTACCTGTTCTTGGTCCTGTTCTAAGGTACCTGGCCTCGAGGATAGTCCATAGTTTGGGGTTCAGGGCCAAGAGCCCCGAGGCAGCAGTCCTAAGCATCTATGAAGGCCACCAGATAAAATTTGATGTGGTAAGAAACTGAGTCGTGTCTTTAGGATAGTCCATAGTTTGGGGTTCAGGGCCAAGAGCCCCGAGGCAGCGGTCCTAAGCATCTACGAAGGCCACCAGATAAAATTTGATGTGGTAAGAAACTGAGTCATGTCTTTAAGATGGTGAAGTTAAAGGTCGGTCTCCAGACATAAATAATCATATCTGATTGCAACACGTCTGTAACAACCCACTTGGAAGAGAACTTTGGTCCTATATACCATGAGGAATTTTCCAAGAGAAACAAATTTTGATAGCACGGAAAGCAACAGAATAAAAACAACAAACAAACAAAGAAAACAAACAAGTTCATTAAAAACCTCCACAACGTTTCTTTCACAATGCAATCGCATGACCAGAACTGGTTTTTATCTTTAACATAAAACAGTCAAACCTATTTTTCAATACAGTATTACCAGTGCACAACAATTTGTATCACCCCTTTTCTTCTGTATTTTCGACTTTCCTACCGTGCAGTTTGCCAAAGACTTAGCAAGGCTAGGAGAGAGGCAGATACCGGTACTTTTTGTCTATGGTTTGCGGGACCGGATAGTAGAGCCAGAATGTATTCCAGAGATCATCACGTTACTAGACATCCCTCAAGACTGTGTGAAGGAGTACAGTGATGAAGACCAACCTGATATAACATTCCATGGTAAGTCTTCTGAGAGGTGTTTCACAAAGATTCTAAGTCAAACTTGTTAAACACATACCAGTGAAATAAAGATTGAAATTGGGTCAATTTGAAGAAGATAATCTAACTTGATAACTCTCCTAGTATCTTTATCAAATCTAACGACTTGGTTGATGAATATTTGATGGAAAGTGCTAAAATAGAAGCAGTATTACTCAGTGATGCTTATACAATTATCATGATTACTCATCTACACATACAGACGATTCTTTGAGACGAGTTGTTCGCTTCAAGACGGGAACGCATCGGCTTCATTTCAAGAAACCTGAGCAGGTCCTGAGTGAGATTTCATTGTTTCTTGAAGCTCTGAGGAGAAAATCCAGATGAAACTGATATCAAGTAAAACCATTCGAACCAGCAATATGTGCCAGTTGTCTTCTTCCTAGTCAGTTGCAGTACAGGGAGTGTTTCACAAAGACTAAGATCGACTTTAAGTTGGATTTAACTATGGTAGGCCTTTCATGCTATAGTTCCTCTAACCATTCCTTGCATTGGTTTCTCAAGGGACGTACAAATCGTGGTCACGAATCTATAGAATTTACCTCTCTTGATACCGGTAGTTCATTATTGAAGGAAAAATTATTATCTAAAGATTGTAATTGAGAGACCAATGGTGAGAGCAACCAGTGGCATGAATGGCCTGCCATAGTTAAGTCTAACTAAAAGTTGATCTTAGTCTTTGCGAAACACCCCCCAGGCCACCACCAGGTGTAGTGTCGTACTGTTGAGGTGCAATGCAGATGTGTGTACAAACAATGTCTGATATAAGGTACAGTTGACCGAGTGCGAGTAAAAACAACTATCGTTTTAGCGGAGCTGGGTCTTTGCTTTACTCAGTTGCTTTGGAAACCCGTCCTAGAGCGTTTGTCACAGGGTAAAATTCACAAATCACAGAAATGAAATTTCTTGTTTTGAAATCTGAGAGCGATTCATCATTTAAACCTTTTGATATTGTGCATTTAACCCATTGCCTGTGTGTACCCAGGGACCCGTTTTTCAATGACAAATTACAAAAATCAGTGACAGATCTGCTGATAACCAATCAGAAGCAAGGATTTCAGTAGCTTAACAAAAACTGTCATTTGTCACTGACAATGACAAGTTTTGTGAAATGGCGCCCAGTAGTCCGGGTGTTAAATCATTGAATGATGTAACTTTGTTAGGATTTGTAAAAGTGAAGGTCAAAGGTGGCAGAGGTTAGTACATTTATTTCCTTGATATCCCATAAACCTCTGAAAATTTCATCAAAGAAAGAAAAATTACCAGGATAAACTTCAGGTAAACTTATCAAATGTAGGGAATTTCATTGCTTCAGTGACTTTGTAACTTCATGGAACGCATATTTATACTCTGTAGAATATAGACTTTTATCTGTATTATTCTTCATTTTGGGGGGTTTACTAACCTGCCGATCTGCACTAGTTCTAGTTTGTAAAAATTGGTGTCATCTTGCATTTGTTGATGAAGAGATAACAGTATTTGTTTGTATTCTTTGTACATCTTTGTACAATTTCAGATTTCTGATAGGCTAATGTAGAAAAATTTGTCAGTACTCTGTAAATCAGGTTTCTATTCAAAATGGTGCTTTTAATATAAAATGTTATTATAAAAGAAAAAATATTTGAATATATTATATTAATAAATGTGTGTATTGAAATCAAATAAGAAATGGCAAGTTTGGTTTATTTTGAATTACTTCTCATATCTCTCATTATCTTCAGCAAAGAAAAAAGTAATGTTGTTTAAGATACCGGTATGTATGTATCATATGATACTGGCCTTATGCAATCTGACAGTCAATAGAGGGGTTAAAACATCTATTTATATTTTGTCATCCATTTCCTCTTAATTTATCGGTCTCTCCTTTCCCACCCTTTCTCTCTCTCTCTCTGTTTCCCGCACCCCCCCCCCCCTCCCTTCTGCCTCTCCAACATCTCTCTATCTTTCCCCATTATCCTCCCTCTTCTTCTCTCCCCCATCCATTCCGTCTCTTCTCTTCTCAACACTCGTCCCTCTTACTCCAACGCCCTTCATCTCTCTCTCTGCATCTCTCTCTCTCCTTCTTTAATCTCTACTCTCACTCTTCCTCTTTCATTCCTAGTCTTTATCTTCCATTATCTCTTTCACTCCCTCTTTCTATCACTATCACTCTCTCTCTCCATCTCTGTAGCCCCTATCTCTAGTACCAGTCCTCTTCCCATAAAAATAACAGTTATTCAAGTGATTTAATATTAAAATCTGTTTATATTAGCAATCATTTATTTGATTAATTTCTTAACAAGACCCAAAGCATACAATTCAAAACGGTTTAGCTCAATTTCCAGTTATATATAAAGAAATTTTTTAAAAGACACTGTTGTAGTGTACAAATGCACAAAACTACAGCCCAAAATTACTCCAAATTATGAAATAATCATAACAGAATCGTCCATTTCCCAACTCACAAGTACTGTCTTGTGCGTCATGACTCATTTAAACGAAATGATAACGGCAAGTTTTATATTCTTTTCACAGTTTTTCTATGAAATGTAAATTCATCTATATGTCATCAGTGTGAACATAAATGCGTTATTCAATATATCACATACATTTAAATATAATTTCTCTATTTCATAAGTATCTAGACTGGCACCCATAAAATTTGAATAATTTTACTAACCTCTTTTTTGAAAAGTGAATGTGAGGAAAGAACTTCTTCTGGATGAATAAAGTTGATATCTTCTCAGAACTATCATGAAGATATCGTATTGTCATCATTTCATGAAAAATGTAAGAAAAAATTATTCTAACTTTATGGGCAACATACAGTGTTGTATTATCAATATAATGTTTATAAAATTTCAGTGTTGGTATCTTTAAACTCTTGTTAAACTTTTGATCTACATGTATTCTATACATGAAAATCACTATATATAGTCACTTTGTGACCGATGATATCCCAAACATGATAATACATACATTTTGAATTAAACACACGCATTAAAATGGTATACATATGACATGATTTTATACCACAAAATCTCAAAACACAGCAAAGTATATCATAATATATACATTATAAATGTATATGGCATTCTTTACAAATTTTCACGATCACCAAATTACCCCTGATTGCCAAAATTACATGTTATTGAACAGAATGTTGGATATAGAAATATGCCTGCTGTACGATGCCTGAAAAAGCCCTCTAAGAAAGGTATTATTTAATATTGTTCGTCTACATGTTTGATAAAAAAAAAATGGGTGTTTGTAATGTCCAGATATCCGGTAAAAACTAGCAATTTGGAGGAAAAGTCTATCTTTACAAAACCATCCATAAAACTAAGAAATTCCAAAGAGGCAAATTTCTCAAAAAATGCATTTTCGGGCAGTTTAAGATAGATTAATACGCTATTCAATAGCTTTCATTTACAACAAATATTTAATAGTACCTTAACGACAAAGGATTTTGAAACACAGTTATACTTGTATTTTCTTGATGCGTAAAAAGGCCTGAGTTTTCACAAAGATACTTTGTATTTTCAAAACAATGAGCAGAATGTGATATGGAAACAAATTGAATACTTCAAACTTTGATTGACAAAACATAATTATAAGGCCATACAACAGGATTCTGTTATTAAGGCCAATATACAATCTGATAAAAATCTCATAAAACAATGTATCATCTTTGAAAGGAACATAGCCATGATTTGATGGAAAATTAAAACGTACAGTGCTGACACATGAACAAAATGGACAACTACGGTAAAATATTAGACTGCCGGTAGGAAATTTTATCGCGATTTTTCAAAAGAAAAACCACACACAAATTCATTTGTGCAAGAAATAGCACATCGACTTCTGGTGGAAACCAAGGCTAAACAAAAATTCATATTTTCAAGTTTGAATATTGGCATACCTGTGCTGCATCCATGTTCCTCAATGATATCAAGAATAATAGTTTTTCATATCACTAATTCTTATTTACTTGGACACATTTTTGGGCTTCAACCACCTGTATTAGAAGACTACCTGCCTATAAAGACCACACTTTTTGTTCCACTTGAAAATAAATTTCATTGAATTGCATATTAAAGGGGTTGAGTTTAATATTGCAAATTTGTTGGCAATATCATGACAAAACTAAGATGTTTTAGACGTCTATTTCTGCTTGATGGCTTCCACTCCCAGGCTCGTCGCTAAATCATCCTGTAGGAAAGAGAGAAAGAGATAGAATGAGACAGATGAGGGTAAGAGAGAGAGAGAGAGAGAGAGAGAGAGTGGAAGAAAGAGGTATGGAAAGGAGGGAAGGGGAGAAGAAGAGAAAAGAGAGGGAAAGAAAATAGAGAGGGGAAAAGAGAGAGTGAGATATATCAAAGAGGGAAAGGTAGATAACGAAGGAAAGGAAAAATGATGACAGTGGGAGGAAGAAAGAGAGGGGAAGGAGGGAAAAGAAAAGAAAAAAAGAAGATGGCAATATTAAAGAGGAGAGGCAGGAGGCAGAGATGAGGAAGGAGTAAAGTGAACAAAAGTGAGATGGAGATAGAGGGAATGGAGAGAAAGGGAGGAAAATAACTACGAATGATGAATGATGAATTTTCCAAGAGAAACAAATTTTGCAAGACAATATTTCCATTCTTGTATTGTCTACAATTTACCACTTTATCCAGAAATATCAATCTATCTATCTTCATCTATCTGTCTCGTTATATATCTTTTGATTTATCTATTTATCTATCTGTCTATCTATCTATCTATCTATATGTATGACTGTCTGTCTGTCTATCTCTATACCTATGTTTGTCTATCTACTAGCTATCTATCTGTCTATCTATCTAACTGTATGACTGTCTACCCCTCTACCAATGTCTGTCTATCTACTATCTATCAATCCGTCTGTCTCTCTGTATGTATGTCTGTCTGGCTGACTGCCTGTTTGTCTTTCTGTCTGTCAGACTGTATGTATATCTATCTTTCGATTCCATTCAACCTACCATATTCTTGAGTAGATTGTTGTGGTATCTCAGCCCTTCATCTTTCTCAACCTTTGCAATATTCTTCCTCGCTTTGTCCCCAGCAACAAGCACCTCTGTTTCTCCCTCTGCCTGCAATCAAACAAGAAGAAAAAGTTATTGATGGGAAGTCCATCCAGATATTAAAGGGATCCATTTACTTTGTCTCGGATTCTGAGACAAAATCCTGGATTTAGCTCATGCTGCAATGATAATTATAAACCTGTATGTCAGTCAGGAATCCCATGACTTTTACAAGCCGATCGCCTGTCTGATTAGCAAGATATTTATGATTGAAAATCAAAATCAAATTTTGTGTTTGCCAAATGGTTTTCATAACACTACAGTCTATTGGGGAAATTGAGTATGGTAAAACCGGTCACTCAAAGGTTTTTACTTTTTTGAGGCACTTCTTGATCACTTTGAAGCGCAATTTTGTTAAGGCTTCAATATAATACCATATCACAAGCAGTGATAACACGTAGGGCCTTGCATCTCAGATTTAACATTTTTAAACGATCCCTTCGGTCTGTTTCGTGAACGTTGACCATGTAGAGATTAAGTCGCTGACTACCGTCAATCAAGTCCACTCGTTTAGTGCAGTTGTCCAAAAAAAGACGAAGATGGCATTAACCAGTATTTGCCAAGCTACTCCCCCTTTAAGTTAGTTTTCATAAATGAAGATAAATGTATATATGTGAGAAACAGATTGGTGAAATTATAAGCAAAATCTGATTAGAAATAAGAAACTTCCGAATTGTTAAAGTTGTAATCAATGAAACACAAATCGGCAACTCTATGACGTATCTGTTGAGGTTCTCTCTCATTTGCCTTTAACTCAAATTTTGAATTAGTTTCCATTTTCTTAGTTGTTGATGAAAGAATAGGTTTGTTTCATACATGGGTTTTGTAAATGATGTGCAATAATTACATCTAGGGGGCATGTATGCCTGAAAAATTGTCTTCATGGAAAATATAATTTTATGAATTTTTAAGTATAGAGCAAATGGAAGAGGAATTGGAAACATACAGTTCACAACTACATTATTCATACTCTTACAAAGTTTTGTAACTTTATTAAGTATGTGAAAAATGTATTTGCCTCCATTTCCGTTCCTTGAGAATGTGACATATTAAAGTTTAAATTTAAAAGTATTCAACAAAGGATTCAACAAAGGCCCTAATTCAATCTAACTTCCATTCTTGAGTTATGATAAAAACACAAAAAGCATTAAAATGTACAAGGATTATGCATAATCAAGTTTAACTGTATGGTACAGAGTTGCCAATTAGTGTACGATGAATGGCAACTCCAAAACCTACAAAAGAATACAAAAGTTGACTTACTGGTTCAGCACTTCGACACATCCCCATGAGTGAGCTCATTCTTCCTTCGAAGCCTGGCGCAAAGGCCTCTGGGTTAATTGCTACAAATATCTGGCCCTGAAGAGACAAATAGTGATTTGAAACAAAGTTAGATTTGTTGGTGTTATCTTCGAAAATTAGCCACTTCTATTTAATAACATCACTAGAATTCTTGTTGTTCTTCTTCTTGTATCTCACAAAATAAGCCTCCACCTCCCCTCCTTTCTGCATAAAAAAAGACACACAGATAACAATAATTAAAGAGTACAAAAAAATGTGACTACCTTTTTATTTTTGTATTTTCAATTTTTTTCTTCAGAATTTTGCCCCCTCCTTCCTTCCACATGCTTTTAGAAAAATCTTGGGGCTACCCCTGCTTACCAGGTTTGCTACTGTGTCACTGGTCTTCCATTTTCTGACGTTGGGTCCAAACGCACCCCCGCCCAAGACCCCACTCAGGACCTCCACCATCATAGCAAGACCATAGCCCTGAAAAGAAACAAAAAAGAAATGAAATTAGTACCGATTTTGTGTCACCTGACCGGAGAAGGGAATACAATATTAAAGATAAACTTGAGTTCTGGTAAAAAAAAAGAAAATGAATTTTCACAGAATCTAACGAAACTTACACTGAATGTTCAAGATAACAAGTAAATGTCACATGCCAAACAATTTTGGAAGAAAATGTATACTGGCCGAGTAATGAGCATAGAAAGATAAGGAAATCAGGGTAATACTAGCCCTGACACCATGTGTGTTGTCCCATATACATCTTTCTGTGTAAGTGATTGTTACTCTGCCAAATTTATGGTGATTTTGATGACTCCAGAACCTTGCATTACACACCATTACTTGCATGCTATATGATCAACTTTTCTGATCCATTCCACACCTTTTCTTTCACAATGCAATCGCATTACCAGAACTCAAGTTTATCTTTAATCACTATGGCCTTCAAATTGTTGGCGCTCATGTACTTTCGCACCCTCACTAGGCAAGCTTCACTCCATCACATGCTTTGATTTCCTCATATCCATCCATAGACTCTACACGTAACTTGCATGTGAAGGAATAAAGCATGTCTGGTGCGAAAATGCATTGGTGCCAATTTTCATAGTAAAATCTCTACAATGCATAGGTCCAATCGCTGAGGTAATGATATCAATGTTAATTATTTGGACTATGTGAGGACTGAAGTGTGTTGCATAGATCTTGTTACACGAACGATTGTTTTATTTACAGAGCAAAAAACATATACATTTCATTTCATTTATTATTCAAGCACGGAGGCCTACCTCAGCCCATCGACTGTTCTACCGTAGAGCCGTGCAAACACAAAAACATACAAAATCAAAATAACAAACATGATACAACATAATAATAATAAAATGATACCTACATAAATATGAACATTATAAAATATAAAAATCAAAATTTAGAAATACAGCTGGATTGATTTATTGAGAGCCATCAATAGCTTTCTTCTTTCTAGAGCTATAGAACTATAATACGTCTAGTGTTTATTCATTTTTTTCCCCTTCAAAATGTGCATCTATTGTTCCCATATGCATTTGTATGGCTCCATCATATATCATATAGGATATATTTTTTAAAGATTTAATTTTGTTTCTTTCTTTTAAGTCACATGTTCCTAACTATACGATATATATTTAATATTATAACAATCATCTTGGACCCATCAAAGAACAGCTTCATCTCTATTGCTTGACTGAACTGGGTGTCCTTCCGACTTCATTATTGTCTTCTTCTTTTTTTCTTTACATAGTATATTATGTTTGTTTAAATGTTTATTTACATTATGTTGTAAATGTTCTATATATATATATATATATATATATATATATATATCATGTTTTAATTGTGAATTTGTAGAATAAATAAATAAAATAAAATCAATATCTGACCTTATATCCTCCTGCTATCTCTGACCCTCCTAGAGGCAACAAACCTCCTCCTGTTAAAACAGCTTTAGGGTCATTAGATTGCTGAAAATGAAAATGAACATATAAATTATCTCATGTCAACAACAGTATATAATTTGCTTTTATGGAAATTATTCCCTAAAAAGACTGTATAAATATATGATAATATTCACAAAAAGACATTTTCCTGAATAGACAATGCTAACTGTTTTGTGAGCAAATAATTGCATTCACTATGAACAAAGAAAGCGGACAAAATATACAATTCCTCAGGTAGACAAAGGAACATCCCTTCACTGCTATTATGTAAAAAGGTGTAGAACAGGTGTCACATGCATATTCACCTTTTTACATAATAGCAGTGAAGGGATGTTCCTTTGTCTACCTGAGGAATTGTATATTTTGTCCACTTTCATTGTCCGTCATATTCATAGTGATTGTCAACCATCTATCGCACTCATGACTACACATAATCACCTAAAAAATTCCCCGAAAACAAAGCATTGATATTTCACAGTTTTCACGAGTGCATCGACGCCTTCAAAGAAAACCATAGATATCTTGTGGTTGAGAATTTTATCATGATTTTTTGCATGTCAGAGGGTTAGTACAGTGGAATGAATATAGTAAGTAACATTTTATACAAAAATTAAGCAATTTTTTTCATCAACCTTGAACAATGTTACCAAGTCACTTTAAAAGTTGAGGCAAAGTTGCAAATTTCATGTGAAGATGAAAAAGGCAAAATTATAACATGTTTATAGACACTGTATATATTTATGTAGAAGATACAAAGTGTGCAAATGATTATTCCAATATAAACTGGGAATCAAAGAATTTTGTTTTGAGGGGAAACTGGGTTTCATTCCTTACTAAATCTATGCCAAAAGAGGACTGAATGATAAACTGCACATATGCTGTGGTTATCAATCATGAGGAAACATCAAATATATCTTATGAGCATTACTCTGCAAAATGGTTTCAAATCTGACCCCGAAATGACCTCAATTTGACCTCTCATGAGCCTTGTTGATACTTACCACACCGGATGCGTCACATCCCCAGCCATTAGGGATGGGAATCTTCTTCACTGCATTCAATTCTATCTGTATTTAAATAAAACAAAAATATAAACAATTTTGATTTTGGTGTGTTATATTGGAGAGTCAATAAAAATCTAGAGTATCACAATAATTAACAAAATACAAATGAATATCAGAGTGTTAATCGTAACATTATTAATTAAAGATAAATACAGCAGGAATGCAGGCAGCCACAGAAGAAATTATATTAAAATATTAACAAGCTAATGAAATATATGATGTATCATAGTTAATGATCTTCAATAAATGATTAACTCCAACATTCTTCATAAATTACATGTACGGTCTTTTATTGGTAAATGTTGTTGTTGTTTTTGTTGTAATGGCAATCAGTCAAGACCTGACTATTATCACCAACGCCTTTCTTTTTAATATTAATTTCTTTCTTTCTCTTTTTTTTAAAATAAGAGTATCAAAAATAAAAATTAAATATAGGCTTCTCTCTTTTTTCTTTTTCTTCTTTTCCCCCTTCATCATCATTCTTATCTTTAATCTTAAAAACATCTTTATGAATAGTTAGTTTTTATACAAGTTTCCAGCCATTAATTCTGACAAGTGGAACTTACCTTCCCCAATGCGACAGTGGAAGTGGCCATATCCAGTACGTAACTATCATCATTCTGGGCCGGTGCACCGCAAGATATAGGGTTGGTTCCAAACATTGGCTGTGAAGGGTTAAATAGTTACAAAAACATATGCAGAAGATCATAGAACTATTAAAGCTTTAACATACAAAGAATTGTTTAATGGCGCATGAACTCTACACAAGCAAAGTATATTATTAAAAGATACGAGTCGTACACCTTAATTTTTGTACAGTACCCTATACCAAATCTAAAGGCATACACAACACTGAAGGTACATTGGTGGGAGACACACCCACATCAGGAGGGGTCCTCATGAATATTCATGTTTATACCAGATTGGGCCAAGAGACACACCATCATGAACATGTGTTTGAATGGGTCCCTTAAAGGGATTGTTTAACAATGTTAAATCTGAGAGGCACGGCCCTACGTGTTATCACTGTGTGCAATATGGTGTAAAATTCAAGCCCTAAAAAAATCGCGCTTCAAAATGATCGAGAATTGCCTCAAAAAAGTAAAATTCATCGATCATACTCGCGTCCCCCAATAGACTGTAGTGTTATGAAAACTGTTTGGCAAACGGTTTTCAAAATTTGTAATTCCAATCATAAATATCGTGATAATCAGACAGGCGATCGGCTTGTAAAAGTCATGGGGTTCCTGACGGAGCTAAATGTTTATAATTATAATTGCAGCATGAGCTAAATCCAGAATTTTGTTTCAGAATCTGAGACAAAGTTACCGGATCCCTTTAATTCTTATACCGTGCAAGGGTTGAAGTGTAAATGGGTGAACCAGTAGTACCTAGTACTCTCATCAGATGTGTATGGTTAACCTTCTGAACAATCATATGTACTGTACAAGAGAAGGGAAGTTATAGATTTAAAATTGTCATTCATTCTCTTGCTCTGGTAGGCACCACAAGCGGTGAGGTGTTGGTGCTACTCTTGCTAAATACACACAACTATGAAGGTACCCCACTAGTGTATTTTACACCTACCTTCCTTGCTCTGGCAGGCACCACAAGTGGTAAGGTGCTGGTGCTACTCTCAATAAATGCACACGACTATGAAGGTACCACACCTGTGTATTTTACACCTACCTCTCGTGCTCTGGTAAGCACCACAAGCATAGAGGTATTGGTGCTACTCACGATAAATACACCCAACTATGAAGGTACCACACCGGTGTATTTTACACCTACCTTCCTTGCTGTGGTAGGCACCACAAGCGGTGAGTTGTTGGTGCTACTCTTGATAAATACACACAACTATGAAGGTACCACACCCACCAGTGTATTTTGCCTTTGTAGGCACCACAAGCGGTGAGGTGTTGGGGGTGCTCTCAAAAACTATGAAGGTACCACACTGGTGTATTTTACACCTATCTTTCTTGCTCTGGTAGGAGCCACAAGCGATGCGGGTACGACACTAGTGTTGTATACACCTACCTCTTGTGCTCTTGTAGGCACCACAAGCGGTAAGGTGTTGGTGTTACTTTTGGTATACATAGAATTGCGGATAGTACACTGTATTTTACACCAGTGTATTTTACACCAGTGTAATCACACCAGTGTATTTTACACCAGTGTAATCACACCAGTGTATTTTAAACCTACCTCTCGTGCTCTGGTAGGCACCACAAGCGGTGAGGTGTTGGTGGTGCTCAGGCCGATCATCCCTGCCTCTATGGCTCTCAAGGTGTACCATCCTGCTATACCGTAATGGTTGGATCCTGTACAGAAATACAAGAAGAAAATAATAATGTGAACTCACCCTCAAGTATAATCATTTTTAGAACCCATTAAAGTTAAAAGGCTGAATTCGCAGGTTCAGTGACACAAAGACGTAACTCCATATCTTGCCAAAATGAGTATTTGATATCAAAATATTCAGAAAAATGTGGGCTTTCCAGGAAACACAAAGATTTAACTCCACCCAACACCCCTTGGAAGTCAATGGCTAGTGAAACACAGACTTAACTCCTTAACCCTATATAGCCCGGGCTATTGTGAAACTACATATATTTGTTAGACCATTTGGAATAACAATACAACACAAAAAATTGAAAAACCAGGGTTATTCCTTATGTTATCTATTGTTTTGATAATTTCCTATGTATTTCTTTGTTTTTTTAACTTATGTATTTTATTGTTTTTGTTGTATTATTTCATTTCCACCTATAATTCAACTATTTTGACCCCAAAATAAGCTATAATCAAGTCCAAATAACCAGTGTTTTATCTCTTTATTTGAAAAATGAGATTTCCATATGTTTTGTACACAAATAAAAAAAATGAGCGATTTTCGGGCTGACATGCAAAGACAAAAGGACACGTGATTTTAAAGGTACTACAAAGTTTTGGGAAATTTTGAAAATTGGGTGGATAGTGATTCTTTACACATTTGATATATTTGGATGCCCCTGTGAATGTATTATAAGCACTAGAAAATTTAGCCCCTAAAACACTTCTACTTTCGAGATAAATTGAATACAAAAATTTACCGGTGCTCCCGGTAAATTTTGATAAATTTCAAATAGCGCCTACGGCCGTTTAATGGTAGCTGCGACAATGAAAATCTCAGAATATGTAGTTTTGATATATAATTTCCCAATGGGAATAGCTAATTGGTCGATTTTAGTCAAAAAACATTTTTTTATATCTTAATTGATAGCTTGACCTTGAGAGGGGGCTATACCCCATGAAGAGTTATTATTTTCAATTTCATAACTTTAGACTGGATTTCAACCGCGACGACGATCACTGAATATTGTCGGATCGTATATGCTTCCAATATGTTCATTTGAACCAAATTCATGACCCCATACCAAAACTTTGTATAACCTTTAAAATGGTAGGTCCGATTTTCAAAAATTTCTTTCAAAAGATGCACAAGACTCTAAAGAAAAAAGTCACAAAATGTCAGTGCAAGATTTCCTTGCGTTAAAAAATTATCGCGAAAAATGTCGCCCCCGGGCTAGATAGGGTTAAGGCCTAAGTGCTCAGTCACGCATAAACCGCTTTTTCTCAAAATGGAGTTACGTCTTTGTGTCACTGACCCCTCAAATTGTACAATATCATTTAGAAATGTAATTTACACAATGAAATAATACACAAATAGTTTCATAACATTCTAAGTAAACACTGATATTTTTTTCACTATAATGTGGGTAAGACAAAAAGCTTTAGTATGTCCATTTTCAGTAGCTATTAATTGATTTTGCATTATCAATGATATCTCTTTATAAAATGTTAACGAGTAACTCATATAACATATAAATTAATGTGTGTCTGACGATGAATATTTGAATTTGAATAATGAATATTTGAATAATGAATATTTTAATAATCAATATTTTAATAATCTTGCTTTAAGCAAGAATCGAGAAGAGCTTACCTTTTGCTACCACCCATCCAATGCCAGCGTCTTTTGCCTTCTTTATGGCAAGATCCATGCAGAACTTCCCCACGACCGGACCTAGTAAGTTATTTCCATCAACCCAGGCAGTACCGGCCAACTCCTACATTGTACGTGAATGATACCAAGCAAAAAATACACTTTATACACACACAATGAATGTTTTGTAACCAGGCAGAAAAATGACAGTTTACCATTGCAAATTTGTAATCTGTGAATGACTGGCAAATGGGGAGGAAAAAATTAACTGCAATTCAATTTAACAAAAAAATTGTATTCTTTAGTCTGATAAGTTGACTGCGATCGATTTTTGGACAGTGTCGTCAAATGTCAGTCCCAGATGTAATTTTGATTTTTTGGTTTATGCACTTGTCATTTGTAAGACGCACCTCTTGACCCCCGGGAATGGTGCGTCATTGTACCGATGTGAGTCGTACATTTTGATACCATGACGCACCTTCTGTCACAGAAAGTGACACACCATTACATTCCATCGACGCACATTTGAGTCAAACATATGACACACCATTTCATGAAAATGACTAGCCAATGACGCACATTTGAGAAACACTTCTGCTTGGAGAAAGTGACGGTCCCATTGACACACCAAATGACGCAACGTGGTAAAGTGACTTACTATGACGCACATATGGGTCAGTATTGTGACGGACATTTTGCGGCCATGACGGTACTGTGCGTCGCGATTTTGGGAAACATGACGCAACCATGACGCACCATCCCCGGGGGTCAAAAGGTGCGTCTTACAAATGACACCTGCATTATTGTGTTTTCTTTCTTATGTCTGTTACATGTCTCTAAGCGCCATGAGCACCGAACGGTGGACCTGTGCGCTATACAAGTAGCCACTATTATTATTATTATTATTATTGATACATTTACATGTACATGTCTGTAAAAATCCTATTAATCACTCTCATGCAGAAAAATCTGGTAGTTTACCATTGCAAATTTGTAATCTGTGAATGACTGGCAAATGGGGAGGAAAAAAATTAACTGTAATTCAATTTAACAAAAAAATTGTATTCTTTAGTCTGATAAGTTGCATTTTTTATCTTTATTGCTCTTCTCAATTTCATAATACATTGTAAACATGTATTGTTTTTAAAATTATAATTACATGTATAATGTATATATGGTGCAATACAAGTGTGTTACTTGCACATTATTATCATAAAATATTGATGCTGATTATGAAAAACAAGCAAAATTTGACTGTAATTTTTATTGTAGAGTAATTGACTCAGTGTAACTTGATTTACCATTCTATTTAGTCTAAATTCCATGAATATTAAAGCTCATCTGCACTAGTGAACAGGAGGAATTATACCACACTGCAAGGTCACTGAATGGGTGGTTATCTCATCAAGTCAGCTCTCAATTAACATTAAAAAAAAAGGGTCATGGGGGACCAATGGTCACCGATTATGCATTGTTTGTTATATAGAGGGGCAATTAGCTATAAGTAGTCCAGTGGGGCTTTAATAGCAGTGGTCACAACCCTAAAGGTACTAGAGACCTTTTCATGTTTGAGATACATACAAACAAACTCATAAAAAGGGAGTTTACTTTATATCAAATGTGTACAAATATGCGGTAGAGTTTACAAAAGCAATAAATACTGGTATTCATATATAAAGTACATGCCTACTTTAGAAATTGTCCTGGGAGGTACTTTGCAAGTTTAATAGAATAGATTAAAAAATAATTAATCAAACAAACTCGCGAAAGTTTCATAACAAGGGAAACGCTCTCGGCGGTCTCGCCTGCATTACGCAATTCGATATAATGAAAAATTGAGGTTGGAAAATTATTTATAGGCAGGATGACCCATTAGCAGGCCCCCAAAATTGAAATCCTCTGTACACAATCAGCCTTTTAAAGTGAATATTTACAAAGAATCATCCGAAAAATTATTTACTATTATTTCTACTAAGATTGATAACTTTCATGAAATATGAACAAATTAATCAATTCTCATATTAAGTTGTGAAAACATAATCCAAGTCTACTGACCCTTGACCTTGCGACCTGGAATTTGTGTCATATGATTTGTGATACTTGATAACCCTTGGGTACAAATTTCATGGAATTTGAACAATCAATTTTGAAAATTTGCTAACAAATTCAAAATCTTGATGTTGATGCCACAACAAAGTCTAAGTTTGTTGACCCTTGACCTTTGACCTTAACGTAATGACCTGAAATACTACTCACATGATCAGGGATACTTGATAACCCTATAGTCCAAGTTTCATTGACTAAGAACTTAAACTTTTAAAATTATATCAAAAATTCAAAAACTTAACCTTAGGTTAAGTTTTCGATGATGATGCCACAACATAGTCCAAGTCTGTTAACCTGAAATGACCTTTGACCTTGACTTTGTGACCTGAAATTCTACTCA